GGCGCAAACGGCTGCCAACACCGCGACTTTACAAACGACTCACCGGCGCCTGCCTGGCACCCGAGCGACAATGACCAAGCTAAGCAGCCGTGACTGGCACATACACCGGCTCCACAACACTGCGACTGACAGTGGGTAAGTGCAGGCCATAAACGGCGGCAGAATGACCGCAAACCACCCGACACACCCAGACGGCGCACCAGGAAAACGGCTACTGCGCCCGGCGGCCACCGCACTGCCCTGCCCGTACAATCACTAGCCAGGATTACACAGAGTCGCGGCGCGGACCACCGTTGCCATGCCGCCGGGCGGAGCACCGCGCGACGGCACGTCCTCATCCGTCACCGCCGCTCCGCTCCGGCGACAGGCGAGTGATCCGAACGGAGCCACCTGTGTGCCGCGCCGTCCGTCGGACACCGCACGAGCCGCTCGTCTCTCCGCCCCAGACGTCATCGATCTCCGCGGCCGCAGAGGGTCAGACGAGCGCCGGCCGGCCGAGCAGTACCATTAGACGGTAAGGACGCTGACTATCGGTCGTGGCCACCCATCAGACGGGCGGACGTCACAGAGGCGGGGTCCACAGCGCGTGATTATAGAGTGGACCGGGGAGGCGAATAGAGCTGCGAGCGAACGCTGCCCCGTTCGGTTCTCTCTTTATCAGCAGCTGGTCCGTCAGAGGCAACGCCAAATTGGCTCAGACAGATAGCCAATATCGCTGGTCCGAGAGTGGCTATTGAGCGCAAGCTGCGTCCCGCTGACCGACCAGTGAGCGGCTGTGGAGTGGACTGACAGCCCGCCGAGTGGAGTGTGCGGACTCCAGAAGAGTGCCCGCTGCGGTCGAGTGACGCCCGAGTGTCTGCTGAGTGTCCTGTCAGCTGAGAGACCACCGCGTAGCTCGGTTCGGCCATGTCCTCCTACGCGCTGCCGTTTGCCGGCCGGAACAAACAGGGGCGGACGGCGGACGGCGGACGGCGGACGGCGGACGGCGGGTAGGGCGGCGGGTCGGGGCGGCGGACCGTAGCAGAGTGGTTGTCGGACATGCCGACCCGCCCTCACCACCTCCCTCCGCGACAGGCGCCGAGGTGAATGGTTGCACATAACGCGGACAACGACACGGCACGCGGCTTCAACGAACACGGGGTGAGACAGGGCGAGACAGGGGCGAGGCTGGCGGGGGAGAGACAAAGGCGTGGGTGGAGCGGGGATTTAGCTGGGCGTGCAGCCCGTCGCTGTCGCCCGACCGTTGACCTTCATGTCACCTCCGGGTAGCCGCCCGACCGCGGCAGGTCGGCGCTATCGACACTGGGCGCCCGCTGCGCCGCGGGCGACTGTGGACGTCAGTGACGCCGCCAGCCGCTCTGTGGACAGATACTGCCGGCACGGCAACGATACCCGCTGCCTGATCGCAGCCCGATACGCCTCGCCTCGCCGCGGTTTCATGTTAAGGGTTGCTGACCGGATTTAAGCTATCATCTGATTGAATGTGTCAAACCCCGGCAAACCAGGATAGCGCTGGAGACAATCTGTATTCTGTGTCATTGACAAGTTTCCATGAGTTCTCCGCTTGGACCGCGTCCATTTGCTGCTAAGGCTGTTTGTGACAGGTCATCTGCGACAGAAAACCATACACATTTGCCATTCACCTCACTCCTAAAGCGAGCTCCGGCGGTGGAGCGCCGCCACGCGCCGCACATTGTCATCTTCCCGAATGTGAATACTGCAGCGACGCGGTCGACAACACGCGACAAACGGTGGCCTCAGCTCGGAGCGGTCGACCGGAGAGACAATTTTCCGCCCCGTGAATAAGTCACGAGAGCGGCCTTGGTGCTGCGGGCTGAGTCAGTTCCGTGAGCGCTGCGGGCAGCCGGGCACTCCGAACGAGCTTCGGTAGTTTGAACCTCTATTTCATGGATGACAGCTCGTAAAAGGGAACTACCAAAATATATCACAGATTAGCCTAAAAAAGACGTCTAAAGCAGCATACATGCAACAAAAGAGCGGACCTCAACAAAAGCACTCATAACACTCGCAGGCGTCCAGTCCGGAACAGCTCGTCATCATTTGAGCCGCGCCAGCATGTTCCGGCCGGCTTTCGGCGTCCTTTGTTTCGCGGAGTTGGCCCGGGGCGGTACGGACGTGTAACGGTGGCGCGTGATTGCCACCGCCGCTGCCACCACCGCTACACGCACCGGAACTGACAGCGCTCGGCTCTAGCCGGGCTGGGCCGGGTCGGGTCGGGCCGGGCCGGGCCGGGGGGCAGTGATCTCGGTGGGGCTGAGCGGCGATCGCGACCGGGCGGTTCGCGGCGCGCCGAGCCAGTTCGGACCGCCACGGACCGGCGATTCCGTACAATCGGTGCGCCGATACGGGTCGGCCGGTCGACACACTGACCCTGACCGCTGCCGGGGAATGACGACACACACAGGGCCGCCGCTGGACCGCCCCGCAAGTCAGCGGCAGGGTCCGCACAGTCACCAACCGGTTTGACAGACAAAGGGGGTGTAGGGTGTAGAGTGAACAGTGGCTAGCACACATGCATGATGCATGGATTCGGATGGCATTATATATAATCATGGCTGCATTTATCGTAATACATACCTATCAATAAATTATACCTAATACCTATTTCATATCATGAAATGACATGAAAGACTCGCAGTAAACCCGTAATGAAAATGTAGGTAAAAATCAAGAGAGTAGGTACTTAAAATAATATTGGGCTAAAAGTTCCCAATCAATCCACCTTATCAGTTATCCACCATATAGCTTTCCGTTCGAAGCGGCATGCGTTGAGAATTGACATGCCCCTCCCGGCTCCCATATCTTCTCTGCACAGTTGTCTCCAGTACGTATCACCTCACTCACAGTCAGCCACCACCTCAAACATTCCACAACGGACCCCCTCTGACCTCCCGACCACCATGGCCGCTCCCGGTCACCGGGAACCTCACGCCGGTGACCCGGGGTCACATCCGGGTCACTGGGGTCACGCCAAGTGCCGGCCGCGCGGCCCCAGTCACGGTCCGACGAGGGACGGCCCGGACGAGTGACACTCCACGGACCGCCGTGTCAGCGTCAGCGCTCTCCAGGCACGAACTCGAGCGAAGCATAAGTCCGAGGACTAGCAGTTCAGCCAGATTTCGGTCTCGAGCTTCTAGATTTTCCATGGATGGTTATCTTGACTCAAAGAGCATGCGCTTGGCATCTCTGGAATAAAGTCAAGGGGATGCCTGCTGGAGGAATACCTCATTTCGAATCACCTCTCCGCTTCGGGCAATAATCTGTATTAGGCATCTACCATCTCTCAAAAACACTAAAAACTCCACCATAGTTTTGAAACACGGCCGCTTGCCGCTAAGGGATCAGCACTGACAGATACCTGCTACGATCCCACCATTCCTGACCCGGTATGACCCAGCAGCATCCAAACAATGACCGCCGTAACGGTGTGTTTTCCAGCGCGCAGCTGGAGGCCGGTCACACGCTGGGGCCGAGCGGCGGAGGACGGGAGCCCGCAGCGCTCGCTCACGGGGAATACGGCCGCTATCGCGAGTGACTCGCACAACAGCAATGTCCTCGACTCAGTGTGGTCTCCCTGGTGGCACCAGACGGCCCCCAGACGGTTCCAGTCGAGAGCAGACATCCGTGCTCGCCCTGGCAGAGTCGGGCGTTGTCTGGTCGTAAAGTCCCAGCTGAGAGCCCCGGGATCCAGCCAGACTTGCAGAGGTGATCGTAAGTTAGACCGGTGCGGTATCTCCGGGATTCCTAAACGGTCAGAACGAATCAGCTGAACTTTGGTAGAGCCGGCAATGCGAAACGACAGACTCCGGGCTGAAAAAGGCGTCCAACAGCAGCACACGAATTGTCCCGGCGTACTGGTGGGGAGCTCTCAGTCAGACAAATGGAAAAGTCTCAGCCAGACCATAAATGCTCAACAGCATATAACGCAATGAGATTGCAGACATTTGCGGCTTTTCAGCAGACATCACAGCAGTCGTGCTCACAGCCAACCCGGTATTACAGCGCTTGAGGATACAGCCACTAGTTGGACATAACTCACAGCGGCCCGGTTATTGCGGTGACTCGAGGGATTTTCCCGCAGAATCCGCGAACCGTGCGCGACAACACAACAGCCCTTCGTCCACGACAAACTACTAAATCCAGCACAAAGTCATGCCGAGGAACAAAGTTTTCCAGATTCCCTCAACTCCGTAACAGCGAAATAATTGGCCGGTCGCGCCTGCTAAGCGCAAGGCACTTCGCGGTTAGCTGTATTCTGGACCATGTTTTGTGACGAAATACACGCCTGTCCAGGCAAGACTACTTTACTACTCCAGGTGCGATAGCCTCTCCCTTCTTCCTCCAAATTGAAAAGGGCTGACGGACTGGAGCAGGAGATAGCCACAAAACGGGCTCGCCAGCTGATTTATTGGGACGGGGTTGTTACGCCGCAGTCTTCTCGACGGCGGTGTGTGATCGATCGAGTCTACGGCTCATCAGATTGACGGCACCGTGTTGACAGTATCGCGCACTGCAGCCGCTCCACTGCTGCACACCAGAGCGTGAGAGATTGGCGTGGGCGTGCTGGAGACTGGGAGAGCACATAATGAGCTCCTCGAACCGACCGTTCGGCCGTCGACAGTTTATACAAGCGCGCCATTATAGATTGCTGCCTAGTTCATGTAGCGCAGCTTCTCATGGGACGAAGCTCGGAAAAGACTTGGAAAAGGTTGTGAATTGTATGGCAAACGACTGCGAGCAGGTGGGTTCAACGTTCCATCACAAACAGGGTCAAATAATGGCTCGTCTCAGGTCAGCCAGGTCAGAGTCAGCCGCCAGGTCATTGTCAGGTCAGAGTCAGGCCAGATAATGGTCAGGTCAGACTCAGGATCAGATCAGGTCAGGGTCAGACGTCAGGAGTCAGGGCCAGGCCAGGTCAGGTCAGACTCAGGATCAGATCAGTGTCAGATCAGCTCGGGCCGGGTCATCTGGCCACTCACCGTGTCGGCCGAGTGTCGGGAGCCGGCCTCTGACCGGTCGCCGGCCCTCTGCTGCGGGCCCGGCCTGGTGACACCGTTCGGGGCCCGGCTGGAACGCAGACAAAACGCAGCGTGAGGACATTCGGCGACGACACTGAGACAGCGCAGTGCTAGACCCCTAACGTTTAACTACGCACTGAGGGTTAAACGTCAGTAGATATCATAGACAGTCTCTATTGGTACTCTGCAATAACTTCTGGGGTGTGGTTCTATGTAGGTAGGTATGACAAAACACCTGCGTGATAAGGATAATGTCATAACATCGGCGTGAAGTTACCGTGATAATAACGCAAGCGGGGAGGCAGCTGGTGAGCGGTGCATTACGTAGGTATTGCTGCAAACTGCCAGCCAAAAAGACAAGAATCAGTAGCGGGAAAGTGCAAAGCACGTCACCGGGCTCTTGTCTGCCATATTGCATGCCTAAATTACACCACAGCTAACACAAAGAGTAGGCATGCGGAATGTGGATATCAATAATTCGATATCAGTTCAGTTTTACCTGTTCGATTTTGCACGTTCCTAGGTGCGAAATGACGGAATTTTCGCTTCAATCAATTCAGCAATTCAAAACTCATTAAAGCCCGACGAAAGCTAGCAGCGCACGACTTGCGCCGCACCTCCAGACTGGCTGATTCAGAACACGTGAATCGAACGGTAGTGTTCCGGCCGAGCGGCTGGGCGTGGCTTTTCACGCGGCCCGGTCGTGTCGCGGCCCAGAGTGGAGGGTAAGTGCAGGTGTGTCCCGCTATCTGGCGGCCGGTGGGACCACGCTCTGCGTCACCCTGCTGCTGACAGGGCGCGGTCAGCGGGGCACCACGGAGGGACAGGGGGCGGCCGGGCCGGGACATCAGCACGTCAGGGAGGGGCCAAAGGTGCGCTTTACCTAAAAAGGCTGTCTTGGGAGACGAACAAGAAGTTCCGCTGCTGGGATTCATGACGATTGTCCACTGCATTTGGAAAAGCTTAGCACCTATAAATAATAATTCATCACAATGCTGCTTTTGAGTAGACACTGCACCTTTAAATCGAGCAGCTCGAGGTTTGAGTGTCCGTGGGAATAACTTCCCTTTGGATCTACTCGCTCTCAGGCAAGATAAGTCCCATTCCATCTAAGCTAAGCGCCCGATTAAATCCCATCCACTCGTCTCTCAGGAAGTGTCAATGTCCTCAGCGAGATTGAGGCTCTCCGTAACGCGGCACCAGACCATGGACAAACGATGGGTGAGCAACTTCATTTCGCTAACCACAGATTGCCAAAACATGAGCGAACCTCTAGACTTAAGCCCGGTAAGACTACGCGACAGGGCGGTTCAGTCTCAATCGAATAGGCACGGCATCTACTGGTTTTCACAACGCATTAGTGTGATCGATCAGCCGCTGTCTATAACTGTCCAGTGAGCTAACGTCTATATCAGCACCTGTCCAGTGCGGCGTATCAGCGCCTGCCCAGTATCCCAGCGCAGCGAATCAGCCGCGGCAGTGACTGGCCGGCTCGGTCCGTTCAGGTCCGCGGATCACCAGGAATGGCCGCGCTGTCTGACCGTGAAATACCCGGAGTTAGCAGCTGTCCGGTCGGCCCGTCCGATCCGCCCACATCGGACTGCTACCTCAGCGCCCTCCAGCTGCCTCACAGATCGGATAAGACGTGGGGTTATGAGCTGGTCAGAGCAGTGAAAAGTACGGATAGACCTGCATAGAAAATGACGGATCGCTTAGGCAAGGAAATATCCGGGAAGAGTATATTATTAGTTAAGAGTCTATCAAAACTCCTGCGACCTGCACCAATCAGAAATCGAAGTTGAAACCTCAAAGTGCAGTACCTACTGTGCTCTGAAAGCCATCACTATTACTAGGCTCCTCATCCTTGTTCTTTGTTGTGGTTTGGGCTCGTTACCGACAAGGTCATTACGCACTTAGGCACTCAAGCTCCACACAAAGCGGCTGTGTCATTCGGCAGTCAATGCTGCATGTGCCGTGTTGAACGGAACCACGCAAGTCACGCGAACCGCGAACGCGTCTACATGCTGTACCGGTGCTGGCGGTTTCGACAGCACAGCTGATGCGATGCAGTGCCTCCGCTGTGTGCACGGTGCAGCGCCGCTCACTGCTCCGAATTAAGCCACATCCTGTTCAGATAAAACCTCTCACAAAGCTGATTCACGCTGGAACATGTCCTCAGGTGTGGCGGTAAGTAAACCATGCCCGGGTTCCTATCCAACAATTCGTGACTGTCACGTGTCACATGTCGTTGTCAGTGTTCAGTTGAGCACGCGCCGCACACACCGCAATGCCACCTGGCCCCACTAATCCTCCGTCCCTCCCCTCCCCTTACCGACCAGGTGACCGCCCCCGGCCCTCGCGGTAGGGTGGGGAGGGGGAGGGGAGCGAGGGGGGCTTCGGTAAAAACTGGATTGCGTCAGCTGGCTGGCCAGCTGGCGACGTACGATAGGTATTTAATATATATATAAGCCAGGTAGTAAGATGGACACAAATATTTCAAATGTCTTCAAATGAAAAATTGATAGGTAAATATTTATTCTTTTATATCTAGCATTTATATGTTAGAAGCTCTGCTAGCGCCACCATACGGCGCCAGCTGGCAAATAATCCAGTTAATACCAGAGCCCAGCGAGGGTCGGGCGCGTATTTACAAATTGCAACCGAGCTCCGCCGTTTGGTAAGGTTGGCAGGGGTTTTCGCACTACGGCTGCGGTTGAACTACCGTCTGTGGTAGAAACTTAAGGATGATGGCGCATTTCATACGAAATCTGGCGCAATGTTTGTTTGCCTCTGGAACCCTTGAAGTGGGAGTGTTTCAATAACAATTTGAAGATTATTTGCGTTTCTTTATATAAAAATAGAATACAATTTTGAAACATTGTGTGGAAACTGCAAATACTGATATCATTAATTGCTTAGTTTGGAAATTGATACACATTTTGTAGATGTTTGTCTGGCAAGTGGTGTAACATTCAAGCCTATCATGATCTGAAGCTGTTGTAACAAATCAAAATTGTTTTGATGCTACATAGTACCAGACCTTGTTGGAAAGACTGGAGCATGGTTCAAGATGATGTGGTAAAAATTCCAGATTTGTGCAAAAGCTTATGACTGTGACTGAAGAGCGAAAACAGTATGATGGCTCAATCAAACATGGAAATGGACGACAAAAGTAGAGTTTCAACATTCTGGCATGTGAGAATAATTTCAGAACTTCATAGTTCTTGTAGTATTGCATTCTCCTTTTGTACATTTCCAGGTTTTGTTAGAGTATTTCAAGTTTAATGTGTCAGAACTGACACATTAAACTTGAAATACTCGAACAAAACCTGGAAATCTCAACTTTGAGATATAGATGGATTGCGGACAAAATTTAGAATCATTGCATGGTAGATGGGTACTTCTTCGGTAAAATGGTATGTGATGAATGCCACAAGAAGGTTTTTTTATGATTTAATATTTGGTCACTGTTGTACCTGCAACGATGCAAGCTTACTAGCACCTAGTTACTGAATCAAATTAAAAGTATTTGCTATGAATGTAAATATGTACCTGCAAAGTATGTATTGTCAATAAATTTGTGTGATGTTGACCAGAGAGCGGTATCATTTGGGCATTTATGTTTCTTCTTAGATTAGGTGTTAAGCATAGTAATTATGGATCAACTTTGTTTCAATATCTTCAATGCACAGTGTATGTAGCATTGCTACAACCCTCACTGATCCTGCTATAGCTATAGGCATTTGGCACCAGGAAGCCCAAGGGCATGAACTTCACAGTTGTGCAACCTTTTTGTCATGTACCACCAGTCACATTTTTTTACTGAAGGTGCACATAGCAGTGCACACAAAAATGCGCAGAGGGCCTACACAAAAACAATATGATTAGTGTGCACTATGCACAGCATTGTACCCTGATTATTTGAATCTTCTGATCACTCAACAGTTAGGAGACAATTATGAAATAGCACATTTATCATATATCACTTGTCAAACCAGCGCATTTAGGCGAAGTGAGGTGGTTAGGATCAGGTCAGACAGTAAGGCCTGGTCACTTGGTCAGGTTGATTTTAATCTTTCATTCTTATTTGACATAGATGCATATCACATATGTTTTTGCTCCAGCCTGAACTTCATTAGGTAATGAGTCCATTTTGTTTTGTTTTTTATCTGTCTTGTTTTGTGTTTTTGTCCCTTATGTTTTACCCCATAGGCAAGGGTGGAGCTTTTCCAGGAAAATTGGTGGGGCAAAAAGCTGTCGAACCTACAATACCCGATTAAGTTAGACAATGTGCAACACTGAATCAATTCTTTTAATTACAGAACCAACATTTTGCATTACACAGACATTTCAAAGCTCCTTATTGCGAACAAGATTGGTTTGCTAAGCAACGAAGTTCTAAAAATCAGCAAAAGTTGGAGGGGCAGAACGCTAATTTTGTTTCTCTGACAGCTTCGTAACATGCTACGTTTCTCTGACAGCTTTGTAACATGTTTCGAAGGCGCCAAAACTACTTTAGTACAGGGTGTAACGAAATTATCTGGACATCTATTTTTCGCCATATCTGTTTGCAAAGTTTCCTATCTGATGTTAGAAGTGGGAATATTGGATGAATACGTGCCTCCGCTATCGGTTTTCAACTCAGCAGTGACCTGACCTTGTCATGTGACTCTTGCTCTCTCTGAGTAGGAGTCGATTCACAGACGGGTTCACATGGTAGTTGTCGTCCAAGGCAGTTGCGAGAGAAAGGGATGCAATCTCTCCTTTCGTGGTAAAATTGCATGGCGGCATCCACGGCGTCATGAGCCAGAAGCTGGTCTGTCAGCAGCTGGACATCAGCAGCAGCCAACTGCACATCTGCCTGAGGCATAATAAGCTGGGACTTCGGTGGCAGACTCAGCCCGGCCGCGACCACAAAAAAGCCGCCCTTTCTCAAGTGGTGAGGAGTCATCAAGATAGCGGCAAGGAAACGGCACCAATCAATCCGCAAATTGACTCGAATTCTTACCAAGTCGGATAATAAGAGGTCCCATATCATGGTTCACCGCT